GGGGAGACTTCTCGTAGCCGTAACCATCATCGCGATCCCCGTCCCCACCGTCGCTCCCCACCTTTTCACCATAGTCATCCAGATCTTGCTTGCCCAAACCTCTTACGAAGGTACTTCAGATTAGACCGGCATACTACAATAGTTTCAGATTAATAGCCTATACAACAGTAGTTTCAGATTAGACCACGAAAAAGCATGCATGTACACTCCTGTCACATCAAAATATAATTTCTTCATCTTACCGAAGAACTGCAACTCTGAGAAAAGAAAAAAGAAAACTGTGTCGTGAAGCACAGCAACTTTCTCTAACTGCATACCACCGGCATAACTGAAGGGCCATCTCCTCGTTGTCCAGTCCTGTTACCTTCTCATTGCTCAATCCTGGCGCGGCTTGACTCTTCTTCGTCTTCTTCTGAACTGCGTGACGCACTGGCTTGAATCTATTAGAGCTATTCCTAGTACTAGTTCTTCCTTGCCGGTTCTCTTGCTAACGCATACTTCTACGGGAGTGTGACGCTTGTGGCTATGTCATTATGACACAGATAATGTTGTAGATACCCAGCAGTCCCATCAAAATCAATACGGTGACAATATCGAAGATCCGAAGCCGCCTTCTTTGCAATCCCAGTCGATACAGATGCGAACTATAGAACCAATGCGCTACGATCAATTGTGGTGGAGCAGACCTAACTAGAAAAAAGAAAGACCAAAAGAAAATAAAAAACAGAAAAAGTTAGCTATCAAGTGTATTCCTATCTGCTGGAACTAACTACTACGCGCCGGCTCTATCGTCGTCCTGTCAGTCCCACAGGTTTCACTACAGAACAAATGCGCTATAATTAATGATGAAAAGGAGCCTAGACTGTTGTAGGTTGTCTAATGTCAGTTACCCCACGCTCTAAATAATTCAATATCACTTTGTGTCGGCTCTTCTACTTTGTCGATCTAAAACAAGAAGAATTTTTCTACTTTTACTAGCACCACAAAACAACTAACCACGGACGCAACCCTGAAGGGGCTGCAGCTTCCCTAGAAGGGTCATACGCTGCTTGGTGGGATAGACCTAGGCTACGCGGGAAGGCCTAACCGGCTGCTTTTTCTTTATGTGCTTTTAGCATCGCTGGACCTAAGCCATTCAAAGGGAAAGACCAGTCTAGATTTCATATGCTAACACCGACAAGGGCTACAACATGTGTTAATGGCAACAAGGGCTACAACATGTCCATAAAGTTACCCCGCACATCAGCGAGCGCATCTGCAACATTTGTAACACTCTTCGGTGCACCATCTTAGAAGCTTCGTAGAGATATTTGTCTAAGCACTGTTGAAGTAATGTAAAGATGATTTGTTCTTGTTGAATGAATCCGAAGCAGCATCTTGGGTCCCCCTGTTTACTCCCTTTAAAACAACGGGAGGACGACAAAAACAAAGATGCTTCTGAAAGGGGGAGACTTCTCGTAGCCGTAACCATCATCGCGATCCCCGTCCCCACCGTCGCTCCCCACCTTTTCACCATAGTCATCCAGATCTTGCTTGCCC